CCTTCATAAACCCATCTGCTGACAAGTCAACTCCCAAATATCTGAACACATTCACTTCTTCCATACTCTCTCCCTCCAATGTGATATCCAGTTTTTCTTTATCTAAATTGTTTGATACCCTCATCACCTTACTCTTATATATATATTCACTCTCAGCTTTCTACCTTTACACACCCTCCCAAACTCATCAACTAACCTTTCCAACTTTTCCTTAGAATCCCCCAGAAGCACAGTATCAGCAGCAAAAAAGTAACTGTCAACTCCCATTTTGTATTTGATTCCCCATAATTTAATCCCACCCCTCTCCCCAATGCCCTAGCATTTACTTCTTTTACAAGCCCATCTATAAATATGTTAAACAACCGTGGTGACATTACACATCCCTAAGACCTACTTTCACTGGGAAGTAGTCTCCCTCTCTCTCCTACACACCCTAACCTGAGCCTCACTATCCTCGTAAACACTCTTTACAGAATTTAGTAACTTGCCATCTATTCCATACACTTACACCGTCTGTCACATTGCTCCCCTATCCACCCTATCATAAGTCTTTTCTAAATCCATAAAAGCAATGAAAACTTCTCTACCTTTATCATGTAGATACACGAGTAAAATAGTAGACACCAAAAAAAAAATAGCAATTATGCAACACATTTTGGATAGCTAATCAAAAGGCTTTATTCTTGCAGACTGACATAAGTCCAGACTTTCGTGTTAAGTCCCTGATCAACCAGGCTGTTGCTGCCAGCGACCCATAAAGACTTTAAGACTGCCTCTGTGATTTTATCAAAGTCACCTAATAGTTGCTATATGCAAGATCTTTCAGCTTTAAAGCTGGGGTGGTTGGAAGCAAAAGTATCAGTGATACCTTCAATGTTCAGACCTTTGGCTTTTTTTTTTTTTTCAAATTTATTGATATAACAGGGGGAGATACAGCGGTTGGTATTTTTGTTTAATAAATAAATGTATGAAAGAGGGGAAAGTGCCTAGGGATTGCTGGAGAGCATGTATAATTCCTTTATATAAAGGGAAGGGGGAATAAGTTTACTGAGTATACCATGTAAAGTGTATGGTAGGGTTATTATTGAAAGAATTAGAGGTAAGACAGAGAACAGGATTGCAGATGAGCAAGGAGGCTTTAGAATAGGTAGAGGATGTGTAGATCAGGTGTTTATGTTGAAGCATGTACATATTTGAACAGTATTTAGATAAAGGTAGGAAAGTTTTAATTGCATTTATGGATTTAGAAAAGGCATATGATAGAGTGGATAGGGGAGCAATGTGGAGATATTGCAAGTGTATGGAATAGGTAATATCTCCACATTGCTCCCCTATCCACTCTATCATATGCCTTTTCTAAATCCATAAATGCAATTAAAACTTTCCTACCTTTATCTAAATACTGTTCACATATGTACATGCTTCAACATAAACACCTGATCTACACATCCTCTACCTATTCTAAAGCCTCCTTGCTCATCTGCAATCCTGTTCTCTGTCTTACCTCTAATTCTTTCAATAATAACCCTACCATACACTTTACCTGGTATACTCAGTAAACCTATTCCCCCTTCCCTTTATATAAAGGAATTATACATGCTCTCCAGCAATCCCTAGGCACTTTCCCCTCTTTCATACATTTATTTATTAAACAAAAATACCAACCGCTGTATCTCCCCCTGTTATATCAATAAATTTGAAAAAAAAAAAAAGCCAAAGGTCTGAACATTGAAGGTATCACTGATACTTTTGCTTCCAACCACCCCAGCTTTAAAGCTGAAAGATCTTGCATATAGCAACTATTAGGTGACTTTGATAAAATCACAGAGGCAGTCTTAAAGTCTTTATGGGTCGCTGGCAGCAACAGCCTGGTTGATCAGGGACTTAATACGAAAGTCTGGACTTATGTCAGTCTGCAAGAATAAAGCCTTTTGATTAGCTATCCAAAATGTGTTGCATAATTGCTATTTTTTTTTTGGTGTCTACTATTTTACTCGTGTATCTACATGATAAAGGTAGAGAAGTTTTCATTGCTTTTATGGATTTAGAAAAGACTTATGATAGGGTGGATAGGGGAGCAATGTGACAGACGGTGTAAGTGTATGGAATAGATGGCAAGTTACTAAATGCTGTAAAGAGTTTTTACGAGGATCGTGAGGCTCAGGTTAGGGTGTGTAGGAGAGAGAGGGAGATTACTTTCCTGTAAAAAGTAGGTCTTAGATAGGGATTTGTAATGTCACTGTGGTGGTTTAACATGATTATAGATGGGGTTGTAAAAGAAGTAAATGCTAGGGTGTTGGTGAGATGGGGTGGGATTAAATTATGAAGATTTAATTACAAAATGGGAGTTGACACAGTTACTTTTTGCTGACGATACTGTACTTTCAGGAGATTCTAACGAAAAGTCGTGAAGGATAGTGGACAAGTTTGGGAGGTTGTGTAAAGGAAGTTGAAAGTGAACTTAAATAAGAGTAGGGTGATGAGGATAAACGGTTTAGATAAGGAAAAACTGGATATCAGATTGGAGGGAGTATGGAAGAATTGAATGTGTTCAGATATTTGGGAGTAGACTTGTCAGTGGATAGATTTATGAAGAATGAGGCAAGCCATAGAATTAATGAAGGAAAATTTATATATATATTTTTCCACAAGTTTGCCGTCTCCCACCGAAGCAGGGTGACCCAAAAAGAAAAAATCCCTAAAAAGCAAATACTTTCATCATTCAACACTTTCACCTCACTCGCACATAATCGCTGTTTTTGCAGAGGTGCTCAGAATACAACAGTTTATAAGTATATATTTATAAAGATACACAACATATCCCTCCAAACTGCCAATATCCCAAACCCCTCCTTTAAAGTGCAGGCATTGTACTTCCCATTTCCAGGACTCAAGTCCGGCTATATAAATAACCAGTTTCTCTGAATCCCTTCACTAAATATTACCCTGCTCCCACTCTAACAGCTAGTCAGGTCCCAAATGCCATTCATCTCCATTCACTCCTATCTAACACGCTCACGCACGATTGCTGGAAGTCCAAGCCCACAAGACCTCCTTTATCCCAGAGCACCGTGGAGTGTTTGTAGAAGTCTGGGTTATAATCTTGTCATTAATGGACTTCACATGTGCTTGAGGAGGGCTTGTTGGCTGAATTGTTCAGCTGCATCGTATAAATGCAGTGTTTATGGATGTTCTGCTTTGCAGTGGCTGGCTTCGACCAATCTTGATGACTTGGTACAGGGCTTTACTTAGGACCTGAAATAAAAGATCTGCAGTCACAACTGGGCTGAAGAGTTTTTTTTTTTTTTTTAGCAGTTTGAAATGCTGTCTAAGATGGTTAATAATAATAATGGGTCATTTAGCACAAGATGTAGTGTAAGCTTGATCCTCAGTCTCTAAGTTTGAGACAGATGCACTTCTTATTTGTATTCACCTAGATGTGTCTTAAGGTGTAAATAAGTGATATAAAATCCCAACACAATGGAAAAAGGAGAGAGAAATACAGTATAATGTGATTAATGGCACTGTTTCACCCACACCATGGGCTTTGCCAAGTCACTTGATAAAGCCCACTGTGTGGAAGAAACGTCAATAAAGGATCACATTGTACAGTATTTATTTCTTTCCATGCTACCTAAGAGTTCTAGTCTATGACCTGGAGACCTGCCTCTTCTGTAGCTGCTTCCTTTGTTTTGAGTGATGTTTGTAGTTACTAGTGGGCACTGGCATTGCCAGAGGGAAGCTTTGGGGGGCTAAAACTTTCTCCTCTTTGAGATAAATACTTATTTTTTTAATCATTGGCTAATTTTCATTGCATTATATTGACCAATGACTTCAATAGCATGATAGTTTAAGAAACTTCACATACGTTCTGAAAATCGTACACTTTTAAAGATGATTTTTATCAGCATCTAATCAGTTTCCTCCCCAGTGATATTCTGGCATGAATCTTCCCCTGAATGAAATATTGGTTGTGCAGTTGCTAGTGGGTCATTAGGGTCTCCCTGCAGAGTAAATAATTTTGATGGTTTTGTTAGGACCTGATGGCCACAATGACTACCTCCTGCCAGCTGTTCTGTACTAGGTATCAGCAAGTGATTCAGCTAGCAGTCTCCCAAATTCTCAAGTGTAATTTCCCACAAAGTGGGAAATTACACTTGAGAATTTGGTTAGCCACTAGCAGAGGCAGCAGTGTTAGTCAGTAGCCCTATATACCTCCAACAACAATGGAGGAGTCAGTTTCGTGCTGTCCTTTTTTTATCGATTAATCACTTACTTGCTACACTATTAATGCTACGCTTTATCGCTGGCTAGCGCTATAGCCTTTATCAACTCCTGCTGCTTTAGTATCGTACATATTGCAGAATCACTGAAAAAGGCACATTCTCCCCTCTCTCTCAGCCCTTTACCAAAGGCTGGCTGCCATGGTGGCTTATTTAGCAGTTACAAGCACTGGCTGGTAAACAATGGCACATTGGCCGTACATGGAGTGTCAGGACCGCTCAGGCCACATGGACACGGTCTGGACAAATGACTTGTACAGAGTTCAGTGATGTTCATTAAGCCAATATTTTGATGAAAAAAATTGTACTTATTCCGACGACAACTTAATCTGGGGGTCCACTGTATATCTACTCCTTTCCTTCTATGGCTCAGAGAAATAAAATTACCATCATTATTATTTCTTTAGCCAGAAGTTAGCCTTAGTGCTAACTTCCAACTGACTTTGATATGGATGCTGTAAAGTGTTCTTTTATATTATGTTTGTTTTCTTGGGAAGGAAACCTCTAGCTGTCCAGTCCAACAGCAGTAGAAGTGTTGCTTATACCTTGAAGCTTGCAGTTCAGGTTCCACTGCTGTGTATAGTTATGTTCTTAGCAAGTCACAAAGCCCTGACGCAGAAATGTATTCTTCATTCTTTAAAATCATTCATTGTGAATTGCTTGAATTGATATTGCCGTTTTGATTAGTAACATTAGAAAATTTACCCGTTTTTTCAGATATGTAGATCGACTAGCAGATTCTCTCAAATCCAAGCTTGCTGTTGGTGATAAATTAGCAGAATCACAAGTGTCTGCTATACAACTAAAGGAGAAGACTGCTGAGGAACAACGCAGTCTTACCCCAAAGCTGGCTCTGATTATTGCGCGCACGAAAGAGCTACAGTCTCACATACAAGAACATATCTCTAAACGTTACAAAAACCGGCCTGTGAACTTAATGGGTGCTTATCTTAGCATGCAGTTGTGAATACATGAATAGGTTTATTATTTAATTACCCAATAAGTTTTCAAGGTTTGTAGTGCTGCTGTACACAAAATCCATATAATTTGTTAAGCCTTGAACTGTATTAAAAAAAATGTATAACCTTGTAAAATTACTGTTTGTATTTTTCTTCTATAAAGAGTATGAAATTGAAGGGTGTGTTATTATAGTTGCAGCTGAAGAGCAATATGTTAGTCTACTTATAAAAATATAATCACCAGGGAAAATAGATCCATACACAGGTAATATATTAACATACTGAGAGTAGTCATGTTAGTGCAATCTTCTGCCATGCAGTTGTAAGACATACCTTCCTCTTGGATCACTGAGTATTGTAAATATTGTACAGGGGTAGCACATCTGCCTCCTAACTAAGTAGCAATCTATCACTAGTCTCAATTGCCTCATTCAGAATGGCTCATTTTGCCATTCATTTTTCTTATATATTCAAACTCCATGAATATACAGTACATTTCAGTTAATTTTTAATAACCTACTAGTGATAGTTTTTATGGAAGCAATCAGTAAACAAATTTGCTGCTAAGCAAGGAGCATACTATAATAGATAAAGGTTTATTTCTTTGTAAAGGTTACAATGTGTAATTACAATTTTGGTTTCCTAAGTACAAAAAGTCACTATTTAATCTTAATACTAATGTGAGGTAGTCAAGGTGGAGGTTTTTAACAATAACAATCAATAATGGTACTAGGTTTGTGTCAACCATCTCTGATATTGTTTTAATGTCACCTCTGCACCATTTATAACATTTTTAAATGTTTATACAGTATGAGGCCTGGTCACAGACCGGGCCACGGGGGCATTGACCCCTGGAACCCTCTCCAGGTAGTAGTGTACTTTTTTTTTTTTTTTTTTTTCAACAAGTCGGCCGTCTCCCACCGAGGCAGGGTGACCCAAAAAAGAAAGAAAATCCCCAAAAAGAAAATACTTTCATCATCATTCAACACTTTCACCACACTCGCACATTATCACTGTTTTTGCAGAGGTGCTCAGAATACAACAGTCTAGAAGCATACACATATAAAGATACACAACATATCCCTCCAAACTGCCAATATCCCAAACCCCTCCTTTAAAGTGCAGGCATTGTACTTCCCATTTCCAGGACTCAAGTCCGACTATATGAAAATAACCGGTTTCCCTGAATCCCTTCACTAAATATTACCCTGCTCACACTCCAACAGATCGTCAGGTCCCAAGTACCATTCGTCTCCATTCACTCCTATCTAACACGCTCACGCACGCTTGCTGGAAGTCCAAGCCCCTTACCCACAAAACCTCCTTTACCCCCTCTCTCCAACCCTTTCGAGGACGACCCCTACCCCGCCTTCCTTCCCCTATAGATTTATATGCTTTCCATGTCATTCTACTCTGATCCATTTCTCTCTAAATGACCAAACCACCTCAACAACCCCTCTTCAGCCCTCTAATACTTTTATTAACTCCACACCTTCTCCTAATTTCCACACTCCGAATTTTCTGCATAATATTTACACCACACATTGCCCTTAGACAGGACATCTCCACTGCCTCCTCGCTGCTGCATTCACAACCCAAGCTTCACACCCATATAAGAGTGTTGGTACTACTATACTTTCATACATTCCCTTCTTTGCCTCCATAGATAACGTTTTTTGACTCCACATATACCTCAACGCACCACTCACCATTTTTCCCCTCATCAATTCTATGATTAACCTCATCCTTCATAAATCCATCCGCCGACACGTCAACTCCCAAGTACAGTGGACCCCCGCATAACGATATTAATCCGTTCATGAGAGCGCATTGTTATGCGAAATTATCGTTATGCGAATGAATTTTCCCCATAAGAAATAATGGAAATCAAATTAATCCGTGAAAGACACCCAAAAGTATGAAAAAAAAATTTTTACCACATGAAATATACATTTTCCTACACACAAAGAGAAGGATACATGCACAATAGTAGAGTAGTACATGCACAGTATATATTGTGCATGTACTACTCTACTAAATGAAGAATAAATGACACTTACCTTTATTGAAGATGCAGCAATGACTGATGAGACACTGTGTCCTGGGAGTGCCTTTTCCTCCTGGGTACTGTAGGTCCTGTTTGGCATTTTCTTCCAGAACAGGCCTTATCACACTGTGTATGCCACTACAATTCTTAAATCTCTCAAACCAACCTTTGCTGGCTTTAAATTCACCAATATGAGCACTAGTTCCAGGCGTTTTTCCCTGTTCACCTGGGTGTTAGTCGACTGGTGTGGGTTGCATCCTGGGAGACAAGATTAAGGACCCCAATGGAAATAAGTTAGACAGTCTTCGATGACACTGACTTTTTTGGGTTGTCCTGGGTGGCTAACCCTCTGGGGTTAATTGTTTCTTGGTATTCTCAATAAGCCACACCAACAACGGTGCTACAGCAGCAGCAGCAGCTGACAGTGCTACAGCAGCAGCAGCTGACAGTGCTACAGCAGCAGCAGCAGACAGTGCTACAGCAGCAGCAGCTGACAGTGCTACAGCAGCAGACGGTACTACAGCAGCAGCAGCAGCTGACGGTGCTACAGCAGCAGCAGCTGACAGTGCAGCAGCAGCAGCAGCAGCAGCAGCTGACAGTGCTACAGCAGCAGCAGACAATGCTACAGCAGCAGCAGACGGTACTACAACAGCAGCAGCAGCAGCTGACGGTGGTACAGCAGCAGCAGCTGACAGTGCTACAGCAGCAGCAGCAGCAGCAGCAGCTGACAGTGCTACAGCAGCAGCAGCAGCTGACAGTGCTACAGCAGCAGCAGACAATGCTACAGCAGCAGCAGACAGTACTACAGCAGCAGCAGACGGTACTACAGCAGCAGCAGCAGCTGACGGTGGTACAGCAGCAGCAGCAGCTGACGGTGCTACAGCAGCAGCAGCAGCAGCAGCTGACAGTGCTACAGCAGCAGCAGCATCAGCAGTTGACCATGGTACCACAGTATTTCGATAATATTTCTCACCCTTTTTACCACTGGGTTGGCACTAGAAGCTTTCTTGGGGCCCATGGTCACTTATTTTGCAGATAAAATCACCAAAAACACTGTAATAATACGAAATGTTACGATTGTATGCTTGGATGTTACCGTGGAGGCTGGCTTGTAAACAATGCCACCGGCGGAACATGTGAGGCTGGCTCAGGCCGCACATTAGACACGTCTCGGACGAATAGTGTTGAGCGGGTTTTTTAGCGGTATGCGAGGCAAAATCTTAGCGATAAAATGTATCGGTATGCAGATTTAATGTTATGTGATGCCAACGGTATGTGGGGGTCCACTGTATCTGAAAACATTCACTTCTTCCATACTCCTCCTCTCCAATTTGATATCCAATTTTTCTTTATCTAAATCATTTGATACCCTCATCACCTTACTCTTTTCTATGTTCACTTTCAACTTTCTACCTTTACACACACTCCCAAACTCATCCACTAACCTTAGCAATTTTTCTTTAGAATCTCCCATAAGCACAGTATCATCAGCAAAAAGTAACTGTCAATTCCCATTTTGTATTTGATTCCCCATAATTTAATCCCACCCCTCTCCCGAACACCCTAGCATTTCTTTTACAACCCCATCTATAAATATATTAAACAACCATGGTGACATTACACATCCCTGTAATATTTAAAAGGAATATTTAAAATATTACAATGGTTTCAAAGTGAAATGCTCCTCAAAACATGGAAACAAGTCACATTGTTTGACTTGACTGAGTTATCCTGGGTTAAATATATTTAGTGTGCTTTGTGGCTGAATTCCAGTGTATCATGAAATTGTAATAAATTTGGAAATTAGCAAGTCCTTTCATGCCACTTCCACATCCTGTTTGTTGGAAGGGAATCTGGAAGTGGAACAACAGCTCCTGGGTTCATTGTTTACTTATGCTAGTTAGGCATACAAGTATACAAGACACACAGTCATCACTTTAGTTAACCACAATGCACTGTGTGGACCTTCCTGGCCTTAGATTTATTTTCTAATATATGAAAATACTAGAAGTCCCAAAGAGTTGTGATGAAGTCAAAATTATTGGCAAGTGGAAGTTGTGAAGATACGAAAAATTGTGCATACTAGTACATGGAACACAATCGTCAGTTGCATTCTAGTATATTGGACGCAATTTAAATTGATAAATCAACGGTGAACTGTATAACAAAACTTCCCTAATAAAAACTTGCAAAATACATTTATAGTCAATGTTGAAAATGATAAAAATTGTCAAGAACTTTCAAGACCTCATCAACAGTGACTGATAATATTAACTTTGGGTCTCTAACATTTAGGATATTTAACAATAAGCAGTTGCTGCTCACATTATCCAATAATGTGAGAGGCAATGCTTAGATTTTTGTCTTTCTATTTAACATTCTGTGCATACAAAAGACTCCCTTCTCATTTCTGCTTATAAAATAAAAGTTTCAACTTCAGAATCCATTCTGATGGTCTCCATTGTGACGCGCACAAAACATCGCCATAGTCTGAAAAATTACCCGTGTAAAAAACTGATGTAGTGACAAAAATTCAGAGCACAACTACCCAAGCACTTTAAAACATTTAATACACAGTCCTACTTCTGAATCTGGTGCTTTAAAGGCAATTCATAAACTCACCAGTACTCATTCCCTAGTCGTCAAGCTAAAATATGTAAATATACCAATTGAAATGTCCCTTTGAACTGCAACATTTCCACCTCTTCCCTCCAGAATGCAGCAGGAGCTGTACTTACCACCTTCATATGAGGACTGACAAAACACAGACAGCCTCCCCTTCCCCTCGGCACTCAAATAAGTCACAAAGCTGTATATCGGGTGCTGGATACTTTAGAATTTATAAAAGGTGCAACTGTCTTCATAACAAATCTTTCTGGTTAGAAGTATTAATTACTGCAAGGTACAACATACCAGAGACAAAGTCCAAAATATTTAAGCATGGCAATACAGGTACTAACTACTGTCAACTATGAAGAGTGATAACACTGTGATTCCCACCTACAGAACCAAAGTATAGCTGGAACAGGTTTCCTTAAATTCTTTCAAAAATTTTACTTTGCTTACACCACAACACATACATGAGGTTAAACAATAAGACAAAAAGCACCAAGCCCAAATAGGTTAAACA